AAGAAAGGATACATGGGTGGATGGATGTGTAGATGGATGAATGGGTGAATGAGTGGGTGGAAGGATGGATGTGTAGATGGATAGGTGGGTGGATGGGTGGACAGATGGATGGATGGGTGGTTGAATGGATGGATATATAGATGGATAGATGGGTGAATGCGTGGGTGGATGGATGATAGATGGGTGAATGGGTGGATGGGTAGAGGGATGGGTAGATGGATGGATAGGTGGATGGATATATGGGTAGATGGGTGGATGGGTGGGTGGAAGGATGGATGTGTAGATGGTTAGATAGGTGGATGGGTTGACAGATGGATGGAGGGAGGGAGGGAGGGAAGAATAGGTAGATGGATAAATGGATGTTTAGATGGATGGATGGGTGGACAGATGGAGGGAGGGAGGGAGGGATAGGTAGATGATAAATGGATGTGTAGATGGATGGATGAGTGTATGGACAGATGGGTGCATGGATGGATAGATGGGTGGGTGGAGGGTGGAACAGTGGATAGATTCGGGAAACCAATGATGGTTTTGTATTCTTTTGGTCATGCATATTTGCAGGCAGGTTTTTAAAACAAGGAGGGTGAGCCCACAGGAAAGCCATGGGATGGTGTCTGGCTATTGTCTCCCTCTTGCTGGGTGGCCCCGACTGCACGCGCGTTCTGGGCTAGCTGGACTGCTCGCGGCTATTCTGTGGCCACCTTGTTACTCTCCAGTGCAGTGAGGCTTCCACCTGCAGCAGACAGAATACTGAGCGAGCACAAGTGGCCCTCAGACGTCTTGCTATGATGTCACAGCTGTCTTGCGCTGTGTGAGCAGCTCTGGAGGCCTTGCTCGGGAAGCACCCTGTCCTTCAGTGAGCGGGACACACCCTCCCAGCTCCTCCTCATCAGGAGCACCCGAGTCACCTCTCATCCTTGGTGGCTGACGGTTGCTCACCCTTGAGCTCCCCTCAGTGGCCCTCCCCCCACCACCTTCAGGACGTAAACTGCCCTGTGGGCGCGGAGTGTGGCAGCCTGGGGCCCTCCTGTGTCCTCAAGGCCGCTGTGGCACCCTCCCTGGGGGCGCCTGCTCTCACAACTTGCCTTGCCTTCCCAGAAGAAAGTGGACCCCGACCTCCCCATTGCCGCCAGGCCCAGCAGCAGGGTGCGGAAGCTGCTGGAGGAGCAGATGAGGAAGGAGCGGCAGCGGGCCCAGCGGCGGCTGGAGGAGATGCGGAACTGGTGCTCGGAGCTGAGGTGCCCCCCACCCCCAGCCGCAGGACAGGGACAGGCCCCGCCCGCGCCCCCCCAGGGCCCTGCACAGTGCCACCATGGGCCTCCAGGGCCAGACCGCCACCCTCACACTGGGCAGCCTCCGTTCTGGCTGGTGGGGGCCTCTCAGCTCAGTGCCACCATGGGGGGCCAGTCACTGCTCCATTCCATGCATCCCCTGACCTCTGTTGTCCCCTGTGACCCCAACTGTGGGCACACTTTCTCATCTCCCTTCTCCACCCTTCGGAGCAGTCCCAAAGCCGGGCCTGGCCCTCTGTAGTACCCGGGCCGTGGGCTCTCTGGCAGCAGCAGGCCTACATGGGGAGGACACGGAGACGCCGCCGAGGGCACCGAGGCCGCGTGGAGCCTCCCACCCCCGCACATGGCCTCGGTCCCACCGTGCATATGGCAGGCGCTGTGCAGGGCTGTGCCCTCAGTTCTCGGGAGCCGAGCGAGAGCCCTCAGTGTGGGTGTGAAGGCGAGGGGGCCTGGCTGTGCCCACGCGTGGGGCATGGGGCACAAGCACGTCTGCTGCAAGAGGTCGGCTCCCTGGGCCTCTGTCCCCTCCAGCCCTCTGTCCCGTTTGGCCCTCTGTCCCCTCCAGCCCTCTGTCCCGTCTGGCCCACAGGCACCATGAGGCGCGCTGCAGGCAGCCAGAGGAGGAGCCACGGCCCCAGGACAAGGAGCAGCAGCCCGCCTCGCCCGACTGGGCCCCTTCGCCCGCGCTGGGCAGGCTGGGTGTGCCCGCAGTCCCGCTCCCGGTGGGTGCCGAGGGCCAGTGTGAGGGGCAGCGTGGCCTCCTCTAGCAGAGTCCTCTGTCGGCACCAGGGCTTCTGAGCGCCTGCATCCCGTCCTGCCCCCTGCCCGGCCCTGGGATTCCGTCAGCTCCCTGTAGCCCCAGGGTGGGGGAACCTCATTTTGTGCCCCTTCTGCCCCAACTCCCCGGCTCCTGCTGCCATGGACATGTGCCCTCCCAGGCCAAGCACCGGGTTGATGGGAAGCTGAGGTCTGCCCCTCACCAAGGGCAAGACCCTGGTGGACTCTCGAGCCTCTGGCCGGGTACAGAGGGATGCGGCCCACGCTTCCTGCAGCCACGGGAGGCCTGAGCTCCTCCTGGCGCTGCCCATGGCTCCCGCAGTCCGCCCCCGGCCCCCTGGGTACTGGACGCCCACCTGGCCATGCCCCGCCTCTGAGCCTGGCTGGCCACCGTCCCCCCCACCTGTGCCCAGCTCCCTGTCGCCAGCCTGCTCCAGGCTCCTCCTGAGTCCTCCTGGGGCTTTCAGTGCTGTCACAACGTAGCAGGCTGCCTTGTCCCCTGCCCACTTGGTCCCACAGACAACTCAGCCCAGCCCTGACAAGGTGGCCTCTCCCCACAGCCCAGGCGGCGGCCAGAGTCCAGCGATGACCAGCACGTCATGTGCAGGCACGCCACCATCTACCCCACCGAAGCAGAGCTGCTGGCCATCCAGAAGGCCGTGTCGCACGCAGAGCGGGCCCTCAAGCTGGTGTCTGACGTGCTGGCCGAGGAGGACTGGGGAAGCCTGGAGGAGGAGGGCGGCCAGCGCAGGTAACAGAGAGGCCTGGCCCTCAGGATGGGTGTCTGCAAGGACCACAGGGGTCAGGCCCAGGCCCTCCGAGGCCCATGGAGGCTCTGCAGCTCCCCGCAGAGCAGAGGGTCCCTGTCTCCGAGTCTAAGCCCCAGCTACAGGGAGGCGCTCCTGGCTGGGAGCATCCTCTGAGGGCCACGCGCCTCAGCACGCAGCCCATAGAGCCGCACCGCGCTGCGCCTGCCACCTGCTGCTCCGCTGAGCCCGAGGCCACAGCTGGGTGACACTCAGTAAATAAAGTGCCCAGGTGCCTCTCACAGGGACGACCTTTTCTTGGTGAACCTCGGCTTCCTCACGAGCGGGGTTAGGGGACCGGAGGCCAGGCCCCCTGCGGTGTGCTGGGGTGGACACGGCTGACCGATGGATGCGCACAGGGGCTTTTCAAGGCCTTCCTGGGGGGTCACGTCCCTCCTGTCCTCTCTTGGGGGTCTTCCTGCAGTGGGGAATGCACAGGACGCAGAGCTGAGCACTGAACCACATCCAGGTGCACAGCTCCACCGCGTGGAGCAGTCCAGGGCCACGCCGCCATTCCTGCCGTCACCCAGAGCTCTCCCAACTACAGTGTCCCCACAAGCACTGACCCCCGTTTGTTTAAGGACCCCACGAGTGCACTTCCTGCCTGTGGGCTGGCCTGCCCTGAACCTTTCACGCAAGTGACCCTCTGACCTGCTGAGTGTGGACAGCTCCTCTGGCAGCACTTGGTCTGCATGGAAGGCGTGGGCCCTGGTCAGAGTGTCCCTGCCCAGGGACAGCTGTATGTCCCACTCACTCCAGCCTGGCGGGCGCCCCTGGCAGGGGCGGGCTCCCACTGTACAGAGTCGGAGACCGAGGCGTGGGGAGGCTGCTCCCAGGGCTGGCGCTGGGCATCCAGTGGGCTGCTGGCCCCTCCTCTGACGGCGCCCCACGGCTCTATCTTGACAGCAGCGCTGTGCCCTCGCCTCGGGTCCTGAAAGGTGTCATGCGGGTGGGCATCCTGGCCAAAGGCCTTGTTCTGCGGGGAGACAGGAACGTGCAGCTGACCCTGCTCTGCTCCGAGAAGCCCACACACGCCCTGCTGCGGAGGGTCACCGAGCAGCTGCCCCAGCAGCTCCTGGTAAGCTCGGGCACCCCGCAGCTCCCTGCCCGCTCCCCAGGGCCCGCGGACCCAGCAGGCTCCCGCCCTCCAGGACTTTAGGGAAGTGGAGGCGTTGCCGCCCGAGGCCGGCCAGCTTCTTTTCACAAGCTGTTGGAAAGGGGGCGCTGGCAGCTCCTGGTCCCCTGGTGGGAGGAGTTCAGGCTAAAACACAGAAGCTGTCCAAATGTCCCACCCCAGGGATGGCACCTGTGTCACGTCTGCCCGGCGTCAGGAGGCTGCGTGGCAATGTCTCCGAGTCAGGCCCGAGGCTGAGACCGGGGCGGGTGTTCGGCTCCCTCTGGGGAGCCCCGCTCGCCCTTCTCACCCGGGAATAGTGGGGAAGGCCACGGCCACCCAGAGTGATGTCTAAGGTCAAAACCAAGCCCGCCCCGACGGCCGGGTCCTCCTGAGTCCCTTCCCAGTGTCCAGCACTGGATGGGGCCTCAGGCCTCAAAGGTGAATGGGAAACCACACGTGGGCAAGTCAGCTCCAGCTGTCCTCTGGGAAGGAACTAAGCTGGGGCCAGGTGGACGGGGCCAGGGGGGCTTCTTCAGACAGGATGGGGCGCGAGCCCTGACCGAGGACCTGCGCCCTCGGGTACAGCATTCTGCACGACAGGGCCAGCCCTGCAGAGGCCAAAGGTGGACAGGAGAGAGCAGGAGGGACAGGGCCTGGGCTGAGCCAGGCCTGCAGGGCGCGAGGAGGTGAGGTGGGGAGCAGAGGGCCCAGACCTGAGCCCCTGAGAGCTGCCGGGGCGGCAGGGGCTCGGCACAGCCCGGGTCTCCAGAAGCCCTGCTCATGGTGAAGACAAGCCCCGAGACAAGGGCCAAGGCCGTGGGGAAGCTGGCAGAGCCCCACCCCATGGGGAGAGCCCGAGTGGGCAGGAGATCAGGGTTGGCAAGAAAGGTGCGTTTGGGGGCAACTCGAGGTGGACACAGGTGCCTGGAGGGGCGCAGATGCACAGGGAGCCTGGCTGCCATGGAGACCCCTGGAGAGCGTCCTTCCCCGGGGACAAGGGCATCTCGTGGTGTCAGTCTGCTTCTCTCTGACCACAGAGGTGGTTACGTCCTATGTCGTCTACTGACCAGCTCTTGCCTCACCATCTGCGCTCAAGTGCCCTGGGGCTCTCCACTGGGAGGCCCCGCTCAGGGCCCAGGTGCACCTGCCCAGTGTGGCCTCAGCTGCATGACGCAGCCCGCATTGTGTTCCCACCCCAGATACTAACGGACGACAAGTACGAGGTCTCCTCTGACCCCGAAGCCAACATCATCATCTCCTCCTGCGAGGAGCCCAGGATGCAGGTCACCGTGACCCTCACTTCTCCCCTGATGCGAGAGGACCCCTCTGGGGACCGAGGTGTGGCCGGGCCCCTCTGTCCAGGTCCCCAGCCCCTGCCCACACTTCCTGAGCATTGCACATACCCAGTCCTGGGGGTCCCACAGTAGCCCTCCAGCACTTTTGTCATCCCAGATGCTGCTACTCACCCAAGAGCTGGGCTTGGGGCAGCAGAGACCCGAGATGGTGACTACGTCCTGCTGCTCAGCTCCCAGGCGGCAGTGCCATTCTCTGGGTACCGTCCCACATAGGCAGGGCCACGTCACCACCTCTCCCTGCCCCTGCCCAGGTGAAGCGTGGACGGAGGCAGCGGAGCAGCTTGATCATGTTGCCAGGGCCACCACAGACCCCCAGTCCCAGGGCCACTTGTCTGGCTCCTTGAAGTCAGATTTGCCCCATCCGGGAGAGTAGGGGAGAGTACTGGGCAAGGTCAGGGGAAGGGAGGGCCTCGGTCACTGGCCTCAGCACTGGCCATGGGGGAGGTAAGTGACAGGCATGCCCGCAAACCTGTGCTGGCTGGGGCCTGTGACAGAACCCTCTAGAAGAGTCTGAGCAGTTCCCCAGGCCCAGTCCTCCTGAGCCCCTTCCTGATTCTCCTGGCCGTGGCTGAGGCCATGAACCACAGTTCAAATGGGTCCTCTTTACAACCGGAAGGCTCACAGCTGCCTCTGGACCCTGGGGGAGAGCGTGGGCAGGGTGGGTGCAGGGCCACCCCAACTGGAGGCCAGGACCTAACAGTTGCAGGGACCTTCGTGAGCACTCGACACTAGGCCTCCCTCGAGGCCCCTACCTGGCCAGATTAGACCCTTGGAGACCCGAATCCTCTGACAGGTGGCCCCGGGCAATCTCAACAGGACATGTCACTTCCTGCAGGCCACTGCCTTCCTCAATGGGGGGAGGCCAGCCCCTGAGACCCCTTCTCTTCCCCCCAGTCCCATCGGGGCCCCCTGGAGTCATTGCCGTGATGGGCAGACGGGTCCATGGCAGTCATGGAGGGCAAGGCCGCACCTGTCCTGAGGTGCGAGCCGGCCAGGGCTGCCCTTTCCCTAGCCTGGGGTTAGGCCTCAGTGACCAGACCTGTTGCTATCCCACCCCATCCTCCTTTCTGTGGTGCATTTGGAAGCTTCCGGAAACAGGCCCAGTCTGTAGCTTCCCATCTGCACCTTACCTGGCTGGTGGAGAGGACCTGCACCCACCCTGAACCCCAGCCCCCTGCAGCACCCCTCCTGGGCAGACGGGGTTTGCAACAGTGGTTTCTGGGGTCCCTGCCCTATCCCTGCGGGATGATCCAAGAGGAGCCAAGTATTTCCCAAGAATGGACGGTCCAGGTCCACGCAGCCCTCCGAGGCGGGAGCAGAGAGGACGGGCACCTTCCCACTCACCTCCCTCGGGGACTCTCTCCCATTCCTTCCAGAAGGAGCGGAGAAGCCTCAGCCCGACCCAGGAGATGTCCTGAGCCCCGAGAGGTGCCTGGAGTCCCTGGCCGCCCTCCGTCACGCCAAGTGGTTCCAGGTCAGGGGCCTGGGGCCGGATGGGGCCAGGTCACCCACCTAGCCAGCAGCCTCGTGGAGGCTCAGCGCCCAGAGGCTCTGGAGCCCCTTCCCTCCTAAGGACAGGCTGGTGGGCAGGGCTGGAACGGGGAGGGCGCGACGGCGCCCCGGGTCTGGATGCTGCTGCCTCTGTGGCCTGTGCGCACTGGGGGCCGGCCAGCCCTGCCCCGCCGCCCTCCAGGCTGCCTGTCCCTCCCAGCCCACGCCCCCCAGTCAGGGCCACTGCCCCTCCAGTCAGCCATCCCCCACCCTGTGGCAGCACATCCGGTCCCCAAGAGCTGACTGTGGCTTCCTCCCCAGGCGCGAGCCAGCAGCCTGCAGCCGTGTGTGATTGTCATCAGGGTCCTACAGGACCTCCGTCGGCGTGTGCCCAGCTGGGGGGCCCTGCCAGCCTGGGTAAGGCCATCTGTCCCCCCAAACACCCCCCCGAGGGCTCTGCAGCCCTGACAAGCCCGGACTCCTTCCTCCCAGATGAAAGTGCCCCTTCCCGGGGCACCTGGCCAAGGGCGGCCAGAGCTGAGACAGTCTGAGGGTGGGAGGGCTGGGCCACGGCCGCTTGTGACTCATCACCCTGAACCCACACTGCAGGCGAGGCCAGGGCCACATGCAAATGTGGGCACACCAGGGAAATGGGTGGTGGTGGCCTGGACCCTCCCGGCATCAGGGCAGGGAGAGGGGCCTTGTCCTGGCCTTGCTGGTGCTGAGCCACCTGCCCCAAGGGGGGCCCTGCAGCTCTGGCTCCACCCTGGGTCCATCCCATGTAGGGAGAGAAGAGCCTCTGTGTCCCCCAGTGAGACCCTCAGGTCCCCAGCGACTCCCATGCCTCAGTGGCCAGGAGCTGTCGCCCAGCACAGGCTCCTCCGGCTGCAGGTGCCTGTCTCTGTGGCTCCACTGCGCCCTCCCCTCCCTGGTCCCCCCGCCCCGCCCCGTCAGCGTCTAGAAGTGGCACGTATGTCATTTCTAAGCCCTTCACTGCTCATGTGATGCTGCGGGAGGTGGCGGGCACAACTCTGTCCCACCCCAGCTCTGAGGGGGCATGCGCCCCTCTCCTGGCCTGAGCCCGGTTCTGGGCCGAGGAAGCCCTGGTCCTGTTCCCTCGGCACAATCCAGAAGCAGGGCCAGTGTCTGCCAGTGTCCAGAGGAACCGTCCACTCCAACCCCTGGGAGTCACAGGCCACGTCACGCTCGTGACCAGCCCCTGGCCTGCTCCAGACTAGAGAAGCCCCACAATGTCCTAGACCACCTCGCACACGTCCCCACCCTGCCCTCAGAGGCTGAGGTGGCGGCTGCGCCTAGCCCTGGGGGTGGACCCCAACTGAGGCTCAGTAGTGCTGAGTGGGCCTTGTCCCTCAGCGTGTCTGTGACATTGCTGTGGCCCAGACGCTGCAGGTGGGAAACAGGCCGAGAGGCGGAGCCATGCAGCCGTGGCAGTAGGTGGCAGAGGCCTGGCCGCTTCCCAGGGGTGGGCAGGAGGGAGGGCGGGCGAGGTCCTCGTGTCGCTGGGCCCGGGGTCTCCAGCCCACCTGCTAGTGCTTTGGTGGAAGAGGGCTGTCTGGGTCCCCAGGGCACGTGCGTCCCTCCCGCCCCTAGGCCCTGGAGCTGCTGGTGGAAAAGGCTCTGAGCAGTGCGTCCAGGTCTCTGGGCCCTGGGGACGCCGTGCGGCGGGTCCTGGAGTGTGTGGCAGCTGGTGCGCTACTAACAGGTCAGTCGCTGGACAGAGCCTGGAGTGGGCAGCAGCAGAGCCCAAGACCATGGCCGGGTGCCCAGGGCTGTGCACACACCTAGGGCCAGGGTCGCCCCAGACGGGAGAGGGACAGGCCAGAGCAGGGGCAGCTGGCCCAGGGCGAGGGCTGGAGGCAGGCGGGGTCTGCCTTCGGAGCTTTGCCGGTGCCTGCCGCCTGCCCTATGCAAATTTATTTGAATAGATACTTTATTCAAAGCGGAGACCAGATAGTGGGCTGGGTGTGAACTCACCGACAGCCCTGCAGCCAGGAGGAAGGCGCCAGGGCAGGGGCCAGGAGGGCACAGCTCTCAGGGACACAGGACACCGCTGAGTGGGCGGGGGTGACGCGCAGGCGCTGTGGGAGGGAGCTGTTTGTCCACACTCAGGGCCCAGCCTTCCTGGGGGCCTGGAGGACCCTGGCCCCCCACGCAAGACCCTGCTGCAGACCCTCGGGCTGCTCAGCGTGGCCGTGAGGTCCACCGTGTGTCACCGCAGTCCCTCACCAGGTGTCCTTGCACTCTTTGCTGCCCCCTCCTCCCCCCACACAGATGGGCCTGGGCTCCAGGATCCCTGTGAGAAAGAGCAGAGGGACGTCCTTGGGTCCATGAGCCTCCAGGAGCGGGAGGACGTGACGGCCAGTGCCCAGGTAGGAGGGCCAGGGCCACCAGGGCCCTGCACAGCACCCCCAGCGAGCCCAGGGCTCCTGTCCCTCCCCCTGCGAGACACTGGGCAGAGGAGGTGGTCGGGGTGGGCAGGACTGCCCCTTGAATGAGGCCTGGCCCTGGGGCTCCGCGGGCCAGGACTGCCCTGAGCACCCCACGACACGGCCCATAAACACCCAGCGTGCCCCCGGCCTGGCCTTCCCAGCTGGCCCCTCGCCGGCAGACCAGGCTGTGGGAAAAGCCTGGTGTCCGCAAAACTCCAGTCCCGGGGGGTCTCCCCTCAGCGGGCAGGAGGGGACGCTGGCACAGGGCGGGGCCCCTGGCAAGCTGCTCCTCGGCGCTGGCCGCTCAGCGGATGGGAAGGGGGCGCAAGTCAGGAGCAGTATCCTGACGCCCCGGTCGCCCGCAGCACGCCCTGCGCATGCTGGCCTTCCGGCAGATCCACAAGGTCCTCGGGATGGACCGGCTGCCACCCAGGAGCAGGCCTGGGGCCCGATTCCGGAAGAGGCCCCGCGAGGCGGGCCCAGCCGAGGAGGGCCCGGGCGAGAGGAAGCGGGGCCGCCAGGGGGGCACAGGGCTGGCCTGAGCCTCTGCTCACCTGGACAGGCCTCGCGGTGGACAGGGCCTCCTCCTCTGCAGTGAGGTCTGTGCCTCCGCTGCGCCGGGTCTCACTGTCCTGGGAACTTAGCTGCCCGAGGCCCTGGGAGCAGCCCGCTGCCCACCAGCAGCCGGCTCAGTGAGCCACAGGGGGCATCCTCTGTGGCTTCACACGCTTTCTGCAAAAGGGTGTGGGCTGCACGTGGGGGGCGGGGCGGGGAGCAGGTGTGCAGGGGCCCCAGGGACCGTCAGAGCCCCACCCCACCCTGCTGGGCAGCCTGGGGCCAGCAGGGCCACAGACAGGCAGGTGCTGCCAAAGCCCCCAGGCCGCAGCCCCCAGGAAGACCTGTGTCCCTCAGCCACTCCCACCCAGCACCGCCCCCACCCGAGTGCCTTCTGCAGGGGCCGCTCTGTCAAGGGCTCTGTCACCCCCGCAAGGCCTGGATTCCTCCTTTGGTTCCCCCTGATTTTGTCCCACCAGGGCCTGAGGCAGGTGGTCCCCAGTGCTCCCTCAGGGCTCCAGCCCAGTAAAAGCAGGGCCAGTGTGGTTGTCCCATGGCCCTGGGGACACCACCTGCCCAGTCCTCACCCTGCCCCGTTCAGACCTCTCCCTCTTCTTTCCCAATGGCGTCGAGTAAGAGAAGTCCCTCTGTGCAGACATGACCTGTGGTCATGTGACTGCTTTGATTCCATCTCTGTGCGTTTGAAGGACAGCCTGTGTGTGGCCCGTGTCTGGGCCTCGGGGAGCCTCGGGGAGCCACCTGGAGACTGGTGGGGAATAAAGGAGCCCTCTCGTCCGCGTGTGGCCCGTGCTCTCCTTCCGCTCAAGTGCCCCAACCAACACTGGGCCCTCCGCCTGCCTTGCAGGGCCCTGGGGACTGGGCCCCCAACCTCTCTCCCTGAGGCTCTGCCCATGCAGGGGGCCCCTTTGGACACCAGGAAACACTGGCTATGTGTGTCCCTCAGCCCAGGACTCTGCCTCAGGCCTCGGGGAGCTCCTGGCCTGGTCCCTGCTGCGAGCCGAGGGCTGGGAGGCCCCAGAGCTTCCTGGGAGGGGCGGGCATGCGAGCTTGGCAAGATGGCTCTGCCCACACAGAACTTCCCCGCGGCTTCCCCAGATCTTCGTCACTAACTTCAGAGGGTGGACAGGGTTCAGATGAGGAGACCTGGTCACAGTGGCAGGGAGCTGGGGAGGAAGGCGTGGGCAAGGCGGCAGTGGCCCTGTGGGTGGGCAGTGGTGTGTGCACTGCACACAGACGGTGGTGGGCACAGAGGAGTGGGCAGGAGATCAGCCGGACCCCCTCTGGGCCCCGCCAGGGAGAGGCGCCCACCTGGAGCTGGAGGCCCTGGAGAAGCGGAGCAGAGGACACTGGCCACACGGTATCTGTCAGGCACTGGAAAGGGCTCAGACCTCCTGCGAAGGCAGGCCAGGCCACTCTGCTCTGCCCAGGGCCCGCCCCTCCAGGAACCCCTGCTGCAGGCACAAATCGCCCGGTCCTGGGGCGGGCCTCCTTCAGCCCCCACCCTTGCCCTGTTCCCTCTGCTCCGCGCCTCCTGCACAGGGTTCCACTCCCTCCCCACCTCGGGGTCCGCAGGCCATTCACCCAGCTTCCCAGGCTGACCTCCCCACCTCCTGGGGCCTGGCCCTCATGGCCAATGTGCCAGGAAAGCCTGTCACACCAATTCTGTCTCCAGCCTCAGCAACAGTCACTGCTTTAGCCCTGGGGGACCCCAGTGTGCTCAGGATAAAACTGCAGATAAATAAAGACCCCACCACCTGCCAACTGCGCCCCTGTCAGTCTGCTGCACTCAGCCTATCCTTGGAGGAGCCAAACAGACCTGCCCCAGGGCCTTGGCACATACTGGTACCCCTGCCTAATGAGCTCTCTCCTGGCTCCTGCTCCTCCCCTTCCCCAGGCCTCTGCTCCAGTGTCAGCTCCTCAGAGAAGCCTCCCTGACCACCTCGACCTGCCACTAACCCTGTTGTCATTTCACTAGATGTGACTGCAAGCAGGAGGCCTGGGTGGGACCTCATGGTCCCAGGTCCACACGGGAGTAGCTGAATAAATAACTGTTCAAGCCAACACCATGTCTCCGGGATGGTGATGGTGGCCAGTGGCCACGGGCAAGCCAAGGGCCGGCCGGCCTCTGGGAGCCGCTCCTCCACCCCCGCGGGCAGCCCTCCGCCCAAGCGCCAGCACGGGGCGCCTCCCGAGCCAGGAGACGTCGCCGGTCGCCCGTGGCTGGGACCAGTCCTGCCGACGGAGAGTTAACCGGGCCCCCCTAGCGGGCTCAGGCGGCGACAGCGAACCCAGCAGGGGCTAGCGCGGCGGGGTCCGGACGGAGGCGCCCGGGGCCTGGAGGCTGGCGCTGCGACCGCCCTTCCCGCCCCTGCCCTCGTCCCCCGGGCGGGGACCCCACTGCGGGGCGCGGGGCGCACAGAGGCCTTGGCAGGAGCGCGCCGGGGCCAGGGCGCCGGGGCGAGGAGCGTCCGGGAGGGCGGGGCACGGCCGCGGTCCGGCGGGAGCGTTGCTAGGAGACGCGGCGAGTGGGCGGGGCCAGGAGAGAGGCGCGTCCGTGGGCTCCAGCGCAAGGTCACGCGGACGCGGAGAGGGAGCAGCGAAGACGCACCGCGGAAGTCCACGCGAGCAGGGGCAAGGACGCAGGCTGCCCTGGGGAGAGAGCAGCCTGGGACCAGCTCCGGCTGACCCACGGGTGGCCCACGTTGGGAAGCACCTGTGTTGAGAGACTTGCGCTCGCAGCTGCGCGATTTCCAACAGCCAGAAGGAAGAAGCAGCCCCAGGGGCCATGCGGGGTGCGTGGTCCTGCCACGCACTGGAGTACGACACAGCCTTGAAGAGGGAGGAGGTTCTGACACACCCGCAGCTGGATGGACCCTCAGGCCGCTATGCCCAGTGGAATGAGCCAGCACCAAAGGACACACTGCAGGAGCCACCCACAGGACGTCCCCATCTGGCCAGATGCCTAGGGACAGGAAGTGGCATGCTGGGAGCCAGTCCCTGGGGAGGGGATGGAGCTAGATTAGTGGGGACAGAGTTTCAGTTTGGGAAGGTGAAGAAGCTCTGGAGATGGCCGTCAGGGACCGCTGCACAGCCCTGTGACTGTGCTTAACGTCATTGAGCTATGACTTGGGCGCGGTGAAGACGGCCCATTTTCTATTTTATCACAATTAAATTTTCCCAAGGTATTGGGGTTTTCCTGTTAAAAAACTCTGAAAAAAGGAAGAAAGGGAACACATGGGTCAACCCTGTGAAGCTCCCCTTCCCAGCAGCTGTCCTTCTCTGGATGCACGTCGGTGATGCGTGGCCCGTCCTCTTCACTGCCTGGGGCTGGCCTCCTGCCCACTGGCAGCGCTCCGCCTCCACTCTGCCGGACGTGATTCTCCTGGAGATCCTGCACCTTCTTTGAAAATCACCAATTCAGCCCCTTAAAAATGCGCCACGTGGTGGCATTTCAGGCACTCAGTGTGGCGCAGCCGTCACCACTGTCTAGTTCCAGAACCTTCCACCAACCAAAGGGAGGCCTCATCCCATGACCACTCACTTTGTCCCCCCACCCATGATCCACTTCCTGTCCCTGGGTCACATGCTGTGGCCTGTGTGTCCGGCTCTCCCTGAGCACCAGGTCCTCAGGTCCCTCCACACACAGCTGTCACCTGGCTCCTGGTCAAGGTGTGTGTGGACCACACTGTGTCCACTGGCCCCCTGGTGGACACTGGGCTGCTCCCATCTTTTGGCTGCTGAGCTGTGACCAGGGCTGGGCACAGCACGGATGTAGGTGCCCGAAGTGCCCAACCATCCCCTCCTGGGGGACAGCCACATCATTTCCAAGGCATAGGTCACGGTGGACCGGACTCTGCTAGGACGTCTGGAGGGACGGGCCGGACACCCGGAGGCCCTCACGGCTTATGAAGGGCCTTCCTGGCTCGCTCCTCCCTGACCGGGCCCCCTCCTGGCCGGCCTGTGCTGGCCCTCCCTGTTGAGTGGCCCGGGCTGGCCCCAAACTCCCGGCTGCAGCGATCCTCCTGCCTCAGCCTCTGGAGCAGCTGGGACGGCAGGCGCTGCCTCCCGGTTGGAGTCTCCCCTTTTTAAAGATCCTTTTCCACACCTGCACACGAGTGTCCCTCTGAGCCACCGTTCCTGCCCTCGTCCCTTCACACATGTCCCCAGCACCTACACATGTCCTGGGCCAGCATGTGCCGACCACCCGTCCTTCGGCCATCACAGACACTGCCCTCCTTGGGGAACGCCAAGAGAGCAGAAATCACCTCTGCACCAGGGGCAGCTGGCCCTGAACACATAGTGGCAGGCGTGGACAGCTGCCCCTCCCCCTGGCCTACGTCACGAAGCTGGAGAAGGCTGGCAGCCTGGCCCTGCAGGCTGGTGAGAACCCGTCAGTGGGACAGAAAAGGTCAGGCCAGGGACCCAGCAGGCAGAGGGCAGGGAGGGGGCCAGAGCTGGTACCGCAGCACCGGCGCCATCCCCGCGGCTCGGAGGCTGAGGCAGGAGGATGGCGAGGGCGAGGCCAGTCTCAGCTACTTAGCAAGGCCGTCAGCAATTTAGTGAGACCTGGTCTCTAAACAAAATGTAGAAAAGGGCTGAGGATGTGGCTCAGAGGTTAAGCACCCCTGGGCTCAATCCCCAAGACCAAAAATAATAATAATTATAAAAAGAAATAGAGGGACTGGGCTGGGCTCAGCGGAGGGCGTTCACCTCACGTGCGAGGCCCTGGGTTCGGTCCCCAGCACCACAGACAAAGAAGCAGGTGCAGTAAAGGTGTGCGTCCACCCACAACCAGAACACAGATGTTAAGACAAAGAAATACAGGGGGGTGATGGAAAACCTGAAAGAAGTCTTGGAACTTTAAAAAATCTGGTGACCCAAGTGTCTCCAGAAGGCTGGGGTGAAAGAGGAATTGTCACCAGAGGTAAAAAGAAAGACAAAGAGGAAGAGGAGCCCTCAGGCGGGGCAGCCAGCGCTGCGGGAGGAGGGCAGGACGCCGGTGAGGAGGCTGCCCCCCCCCCAGAAGCTGGAGGAGGACGCGGGCCAGTGACACTGCCCGTCCCCTTGGCTGGGACCTGCTCTCTGCACACTGTCACCTTCGGGAAAACCTGGACCTGGAAGGTCGCACATTCCCCAAAGGAGCCAACCAAGACGCATGGAGGCTGGGCCCAGGGAACAGCGGTCACAGCCCAGCGGTCAGCTCCCGGGCGCTCAGAAGCCAGGGGCCAGGAGTCCAGCTACAGAATGTCATTGTGCCAGGGAGGCCAGAGGCCAGAGCAAGTCAGACCCACACAACCCAAGCTAACTCCAGGGAGATGGAGAGCCGTCGGCAGACCCGGTCCCCCGTGTGCAGGCCGCGGTGGGGGGGGACAGAAGAAGCACAGAAAGCGTGCCCAGGAGGCTGGCAGGTGGCTCCCAGGAAGCAGAGTGTCCCCGAGAGCTAGATGCTGACCTCCAGGAACGGGGACAGCGCCCGGCCGATCCATCAAGAGACCGTAAAGGCTCTCGTTGGCGACTTGGGGACATGGCAGGGAAACGCGGGCGGCGGGTGCTGCCCCCTGGGCCTCGGCAGCCCCAGTGTCCCACGCGGGAAAGGGAAGGAGGCGAGGCACCGAGGACGCGCGAAGACCCCCCAAACCCAAATGTCCACGCCCACGGTCGGATGGGCCCGCGGCCCGGGCTGGCCTCTGGTGGCTTCCACAGCAGCAGAAGCAGGGCCCACCCCAGAGGCCACGGGGCCTGTGCAGAGCCTGCTGATCGCCTTAGAGGCTGGGGCTCGGGGACAGGGTGGGGCAAGACAGCCGGGACAGGGCCTTGGCCCACGGGCCTCTCCTGCGCTTCCTCCTCCGCCTTCACTCCGAGGGTCCCGGGCATCCTTCCTGAGGGCCTGGACACAGAAGCCCAGGGCGCTCGTCCGGGTGCACGCCTCCCGTGCAGGGGACGCCCCAGGAGGGCCATTCTGGCCTGGACAGCAGAGGGTGCCAAAGGGCACGGAGGGTCTTTGGAGAAGGTGGACATTGGGGAATGTCAAAGAGCAGAAATCGCCTCTACTGAGAAGCAGCCCTCGGACAGCCCAGCAGGGACGCGGGGGGAGGCGGAAAGCACGTGCCCAGGCCCTGGGGCTGGGTGTCCGGGGGCTGCAGAGGAACAGGGAGGCGGGAGCAGAGGGTGAGGGACCCGGAAAGGCTGAGGGGCCGCGGGGGGCAGTGGGGAGCAGCTTCCCGTGCATGAGGCAGCAGCTCCGGTCCCCACCCACGGCTGGTGGAAACATCGCGTCCAGTTCTGTCCTCACCGTGAGGAGGACGGGCTCCAGGTGGACAGCAGCCTCCCCACCGAGACTCCCGAGGGGTTACCCAAAAGCCCTCAGCCAGCACGTGGAAAGGGCCCGGCTTCCCAGGGGGCCGCAGGCCAGGGGGGCACTTTTCCTGGAAAGAGCCAACGCCCCCCAGTCCCCTGGCGGGAGCTAAATTTAAAGGGCTGCTAACTGGGGCAGCCAGCCGGTCTCCCTGCTCCGCTGAAGGCGGCCGAGCCGGCGGCGGCTGGTGTGTGTCCCACGCCACCCCCTGCGTCCTGTCAAGAGCATCCCCAAGCCTCGGTTTCCCATCTTCAAACTGGACACACGGACGCCCGCCTCACTGGAGCCCGGGCGGCTCATTCCCCGGCTTCCAGCTCCCTGGGCTTAGAGCGCCCGCCGTGGCCACCCCCCTGGCCCCGCGCACGCGGAGCAAGACCAGGAAGGACAGCAGGGGGGTCGGCTGCACTCCATGGCCTCTGCAGCCAGGGACGGGAGGGCGGCAGGTTGGGATGTCCCATGGGCCGCAGAGCTTGGGTCTGGCCCGCGGGGGCCGCGCAGCCTGAGCGCTTGGAAAGGAGGAGGCCAGAGCTCCTTCCTCCCTCCTCCTTGGCCTCTGGTGTAAAGACTACATTTCCCAACTTCCCTTTCTCCACCAGCTGGGATCAATCAACAGATCTGGGATTTTCAAGGAGGAGTCCTTAAAACGGAGGAAGTACACCCTTCTCTGCCCCTTCCTGCTTCCTGTTGACTGGAATGTAGTTGCAAT